CATCCAACACTGAACACATTGGTAAGCCGCAGCCTTACCAGTGCCATGATAGAGGGGAAGTATCACCTCCCTGGATCTGTTTGTGATGCACCTGCTAATGCATGATAAAGTGCAGTTAGCTTTACTGATCACTTTGTCACATTGACTCATGATCATCTTGAAGTCTATTAGAGGAGAGTCTACCCTCTGCCTGAAGAAGGGTGTTTGTACCCAAGTTTGAAAATAAACATTTTTCCAACTATTCAGTTGGTCTAATAAAAGATATCACACTTACCCAAAGAACCTTGTCTGCCTTTGTCCTTAGTGTTAGACCCTGACTCTATGCGGCGCCCAACAAGTAGGGAGATGATGATCCAATCACTTATGGGTCCTGTTACTCATTAGCCAGAGCAAGCAGGGGGCAAATGCTACTTGGACACATTGCGCACAAAAGCTTTATTCAGAATGGAGACAGCTTCGGGCAAAGGTCCCAAAAAAACCTCAGCAAAACAGGGACCTGCACTAAACTATAGTTCTTTACATATTTATACACTTTGATTCATGTTCATTAATATTCACTCCACCTCTGTCCCTCCTTCTGTTCCACCCATTTCATCTCCTATCTCAAGCTCTGCCTCTGTTTACTGTTTACTTCATTAACATGGAATTGCCTATGTATTTTAATCATTTACATGTCTTTTTGCTATGACTGCATGTCTAAGGCCTTCACCCCCCTTTTTCAGTCAATGGGCAGACTTCGGAGGCTTCTTTACCAATCACTATTCACCCTTTTGTATATGTTCATCTCAGTTACATGTTATCTTCCACATTCCTATCTGTTTTTCTGTCCTAAATTGTACCATCTTCCACATTCCTAAGGCTTCACCTCATTCACAGCACACGGACTCGCACAGACTTACTTGGTGCTTCTTCAGAAAAATGGTTAATACAGTTAAGATAGTTACTTAGCATAAGCAAATGGCTGGCTTAGATATCATTCTGCCTTGTGGTTAGCAGCTTTTGCTAGGCCTTGTATTCAGCTGCAAATCCAGTGCTCCCTAAGATCCAAATATAGTCACCCTAACACTTAGACCAGGGATTTTCAACCTTTTTGGGTCACTGGACCCCGGTGGCCGATCGAGATTGAGAAGGAAGGAGTCCCCTGGTGGCCAGTTGACAAGTGGGGGGTGGGGTCCCCCAGCCAATCAAGTGAGGGGGGGTCCCCCAACAGCACCCACTGCCAAGTGCCCCCTGAAGCCATGCCAAGTACCCCCAGGGTCCCTGGCTGAAAACCCCTGACAAACTAACATGGCTACAACCAATACCCCATGAGTTTGAAATCACATCCAGAACACAGTGTATACTTAAATTATGCAATCAAAGAGCAACTTTGAAAATCAAGTTAAGTTAGTGGCTGAAAATAGGATCTGGTTCATGGAGCTTCTGACATGGTTTGAAATTCAGCACGCCGTGAAAAATCCTTTGTCTCGCTGTGATTTAAGTAGAACCCTGCTCCTGGGTATCTTTCCTGAGGGCTTATTTTTTCCCATTCTTGGGTGTGTTATTTTTTTCCCATTCATGGCTTTGGGCACAGTCAAAATCAGTGATTTCCAGAGCATGCCATAGCATACCTAGCGTGCCAAGCCAAGCCAGGTGAGAGCAAGCCAAAGTGAACCACAGGATCCCTCTGTGCAAATGAGGTACATTCAGCACCCTGTGCCTGCCTCAGCTACTCCAGTGGTGCCTGCAGCTAGTCCTTTCGGGACTGCCACCACTGCTGCTGCCTCGCCTGTGCCCAGGCAGCCTCTGTGCCAACCCCTTTCCTCCCAGCCCATGATTCTAGCAGCATGCTCTGGTACCAGCAGGCAGGGGGGCAGATGCAGACAGAGCCATGCTTTGTGGCCCAGCTGGTCCCCTCTACCCCTCCCATGCTCTCAGGGCCAGCAGAAGGGGCTGCAGGATGAGTCAACAGTACTGGACCCTACAGGAACAGCCTCAGCCCAGGTAGTTGCCCATGGTGGGGGCAGGGCACGTGTCCTCAAGATCTGTGCTGGGCTCAGGGCTCGCCACCCTGCTGGGAGTCCTGTGCCACCACGGTGATGGCCCCCACAGCAGCTGGGGTGGTGGTGGTGTGGAGTTATGCCCCCCACTGCTGCTCGGTAGGCAGGGGGTGTGTGCGCAGCTTGTAGGGGGGGTACTCCAGGGGAACGGCAGCAGGCGAGGGGGCCTGCATCTGTCCCCGCCCTACTCCTGTCGGCTGGACAGGGATCCAGACATGCGTCCTGCCTTTCCATTTTAAAAAGGTGGTCACCCTAACCCAGAGAGGCTGCACTGTCCCCATCCTTGCAGGTTTTGAAGCCCTGGGCAGACAGGGCCTTGGCTGTGATGAGCTGGTTGGAAGGTTTTGGAAGCATCTGAAACCTCGGATGGGGGTGGAGGAAGTTTGCCCGTAGTAAGGCCACTTACATTTCTGCACCGACTCACGGATTCGGAGTTTGTTTTGGCTAATCTGGCTTGGAATATGGAAAATTTAAATATCTTTTTAAAGGGTCCTTTTTGCGCTTTGACCAGGGCTTGTTGCACTAGAGATGACTTCCTGAGCTCCCTCCCACTCTTCGCCTGTAACCCAGCAGAGGAAGCTCCCAGGGCCAAAGTCCCGTCCCGTCCCCCTAGCCTCAGGGCACAACGCGCACGCGCCAGCTACACCCCCCTGCTGGGCCGGGGCCGCACACGTGACTGCTTGCGCAGCCTGGGCTGTGGGGAGGAGCAGCCTAGCCCCGCCTTCTGCTCTGTGATTGGTACGTTCCACGTCCCTCCCCCTCACGGAGAAGGCGCGTGGTTGGTGTCTGTGGGGCGGAAGCGCTGTGGGGGGCGTGCGGCTTCAGGACCAGGACCCGGCGGCCGCTCGGGCCTGGTGGTGAGTGGATTCCGGACGTGCCCTCCTCTCCCGGGCCTCCTTCCCGCCCGGCGGCTGCTGCGGTCACAACTCCCCGGCCTGTCAGCGCTGCCTGCAGCCGGCCTGGCCCTGGCAGCGCGGAGCCCGCGCCCGCTCCTCTGGGTACTCTTGCAGGCGCCGCGGCCCTGGTGCAGGGGAGGACAAAATCCCGGTCCCGGTCCCGGTCCCGGTCCGGCCCAGTCTGCCCACGGGGTGAAAGTGCTCCCCGACCGCTACGCTGTGCTGGGCAGACCCTGAGGAGCCGGGTTGGACCCTCCAGCCGGGACCAGGAGCCTCGGGCTTTGGTGGCTGCAGGTGCATTGGCGGGCTGAAGCCAGAGTTGCGTCACGGGCAGTTAGTTGCACTTGCTCTGCGCATCTGTTTGAGCAAGTTTGGAGTCTGAGCGTCGTCACCCCTCCCTCCTTCCTGCACCTGCGGCTCCTAGTGACGCCCTGGAAGGCAGTGATGGGTTTGTCTGCTGCTGATGTCGAACTGAGGGTTTCTAGTCCCTGGTCCCACTTCTCTGGTGTATCTGAGTCATGCTGGAGCGGTGGGGAGGTGTAACCCTTACATGTCTGTGCACTGAGCTAGTTTAAAAGAGCTGGAAGGGGATGAAATCATTGCAGTTATGACCGAACAGTGTGTAATTTTGAGGGTTTTTATTGCACTTGATTTGTGTTGATACTTGCAACACAAATGATTTCCAAGCCTTGCTTTATTTTCTGCACATGTATGTAGGTGAATATATTCAGAACAAGAGCTTAATTCTTGATGCCAAGATCACTTTGTACGGTTTTTTTTAGAGACGCTCTCGTATGTTGCTAGGACGTGGATAAAGTATCTGTAGTGGAAGTAGGGCAGCTTAAAAGATACATGTTTACAAGTGGCTACAGGCTGCACATGCCACAGGTTGGAGCAGCAAGGGCTGCATGTTGCATGTGCACTAGGGTAAGCTACAGGTGCCCTTGACCCTGCACTTCTTGCCCACACTGCTGTACTGCATTGACACTTCCACATCCCCTCCCTTCCTTTTCCTCCACCACTGCACCACACACTAATGTAGGCAGCCCCTCTGCCATTGCACTCTGCACCTTGGCTGTGCAGATCCTCTCTGCACCTCTGCCTGCGCTCTATTCAGCAGCTACAGGTAGGAGGGAGACTAGAGCCCCCGGAGCAGTGGGATCTTACAGGCCTCATGCAGTCTGTGGCCTGCCAGTTGGACAGTCCTTTCTAATCTATAAACTGTAAGCTATATATGTGTGCCTATTTGATCTTAAAGACTCTTTAAGACTTCAGTGGAGGGAGTTGCAGGGGGAGAAGGGGGTGCTGAGAAACCAGTGATGTTTTTCTGTTCTTTAGCTGCATTTTCTGTTCTTAACCTTCTTTTATATTCCTTTGGAACTGCCCCCTTTCAGGTGTGTTCCTTTTTGCACCTGAGATCCTGCTGTTGATAGAAGTAATAGGATTATTGGCTGTTACAATTTTTTTGCAAGTGTTCTGTAGGAATAGTGGCAAGGCATTGGTGTACCAGTTGTCCCAAGATTATTTAAGCAATGTTGACAGTAATGTTAGCAAAACCTTTCAAATTGAAGACTTTTTGAGGAATATTTTATAAAGGCAAAAGACAACTTATGTAAGATGGAGAAAATTGCAGTGTGTTTTACATATTTAGTAGTAATGGGAAAGAATAATAGGGAAAAATAAGTGGAAGAATGTTATGTTGGGGATAGTTACAGGATAAAGCCTTGGCTGGGATAAGCTAGTTGGGGCTGGTCCTGCTTTGAGCAGGGGGTTGGACTAGATGCGACCTTCTGAGGACCCTCCTACCCCTCACTCATTTAACCCAGCAGAGGAGGTGCCCAGGGACCTAGAGTCTGGGGAAGGCAGCCCCAGGTGCCGCTGCCCTGCATCCTGTTTCCACCCTGAACAGTACATTATTGTAGCAGACCTTGTGCATTGCAAGATCCTGCATTCATCCCAGTTCTCCAAGTAAGAAAACAGGGTTTCTCTCTTAATGCCTTCACCTTCTGTATATATTTTAGCTAATTATCTTCAGGTAAGCAGTTTCTCTATGGTATATGCAACATTCATGGAAATAGTAACCCATTCTTAACTTTCCTGAAACCGCCGAGCCTGCCATAATGTACATGCATTCTTTAACAATGTTGTGTGTTTGTTTTAATCAGAGACGGGAAAAGAAGAGCATGTGGCTTCTGCTCTGTAATGAGACAGGCTGAATTAAACCTAAAATAAATCAGCACACTTGTGGGTACTTAAAGTTTCTCAGCGAAGACTTTTGAGTTGCAGACAGAAGAAATGGATCTTGCAAATGAAGATGCAATGCCCAGCACTATGTTTGACTGGAACTATCTTCTCTGGGAAATTCGTTTATTTTTAGTAGCAGCTGGCTTTTTCCTCTACTTAGGAGTGTTTCTACTGTCTCACTCGCTGTCCTCATGGATCAGTGTCACTTACCATACCTTGCCATCAAAGGAGAAAGTCTTCTGGAACATGACAGTCACACGTGGTGTTTTTGGACTTCAAAGTTGGGTTTCTGGCTTATGGGCCTTACTCATAGATCCTGTTTTTCAAGCTGACAAAGTATATTCACAGCAGAAATGGAGCTGGTTTACGTGTTTAATAGCATCTGGATTCTTCTTGCTTGAAAATGTAGCCGTTCATTTGTCTAACTTTATTTTCAAGACATTTGATGCATCTTTAGTAGTGCATCATTTTTTTGCCTTTGGTGGCTTTCTTGGTCTGATACTTAATACTGAGTCTGGACACTACCTACCCTTGATGGGCATGCTACTTGAGATGAGTACTCCAACCACCTGCATCTCCTGGCTGCTTTTAAAGGTAAGATTTGATCATTCCCTTGTGTTCATTAGTTAAAATAGAAGTTGCCCTTGTAATCCAGATGTTGCCTGTTCTCCATATACAAATCTACAAGCAAAGAAATACTAGCCTCCAAATCGGAAGATTACTTCTAGGATTGAGAGAGGTTTTTCTTTGAAATTGGAAGTGAATCAAATCATATTGAATTTAAGTTTCTGAAAAGTAGTTTAATAGGACTAAAGTCAGCAAGAGTTAAATCCCTGCAAGTAAGGCACTACAATGCGTAATTCGCAGGCACCAGGCTGCCGGAGTTAAATCCAGAATCTGGAGTTAGGTGTCCTGACTCCCTTTGCAATGCATGAAGAGAGAGAGGTGCCTCAGAGTGGCAGTTCCAAAAACTCACTTTTAAGGTAGGTCCTTAATTGGAAATTATGAGGCATAGTTATTACCTGGATTGTAGGTGTTTGGTAGGTTGTCTACTGACAGAAGACGCAAAAAGCAGGTCTACAGCATAAGATCTCTTATGCTTTACATGCTATAGCACAAGAATAAATGGTTATCCCATTGTCTGTCTGGCTACCTGCAATCATGCAAGATGGATTCTCACCTATACTGCCGGGGGAGAGGAGTTTGGCATACAGACTGGCAGCAGATTGTCTTGGATTTGCTGAGTTCTTCAGTGTTTTTCTCCAATTCATTCCACATATTTATACATGGGTTGCTGTAGTAAACTTTTTCTGATTTGGTATATTTAAATGTCTTAGTTTCAGAGAGAGACTGGGAATTGGATGGCAGGGGGGTGTTGATTTTCGTAGTGCCTTAGAAGGTGTCATTTTGATGGGTTTTATGTCCTTGGGAAAATTACAGCTTTTAGTAGAAAAGTTTTCATATCTCCCTTTCATCATTTTGGTCTGTCGCTTGTCACCTGTGTTTCTTTTCACCATGTTTTACAGTTTTTTTTCTCTGTTTTTACAACTCCTCCAACAAACATAGCACAAATATATCTACTATAGGAAAACTGTAGTATGTTTAGTGATGTCGGTTACTACTAACATTCTTAATCTAAACCTATAATATATTAATAATGATACATATATTTTTATTATATAATGTTTCTCTTCAGGGCTTTTGCTCTATTTTTAGTTTGAAAAATGAGGCTGTAAAATGAACCTGCTGGAAGAGGAGGAAGTAGTTCCCATTTGTATCATAACCTT